GCCATGGCCGTCGAGGCAATGTGCCAAGTCGCCGACGTGACCAAGGAGCAAGAGCCCGCTCTCAGCCTGCGCAACGTCAACATCACCAAAGCCCTAACTCTCGGCAGCGAAGAGACCGACGCCGGCGTCGAGCTCTTCACCGCCCTTTACCCGGCTCAGCTCCCCGGCGGCGCCACCGACGCAGGCTGGTACCAATTCAACGTCAGCTCCTACACCAACGACACCGCCACCACGCACGCCAACGGTCTCGTCAAGATCGACTCCGCGCCCGCTCCGCTGGAAGTCAGCCTGCCCATCGTCCCGTCCACCATGGAGCCCCAGGCGCCGCGCACGTGGTACGGCAAGTTCGCCAAGGGCGGGCTCGTTTTCCAGGGCCAGTTCCAGTCCCTCACCGAGATCCAGAACCCCCGCAAGAAGGAGAACCCGCACACGCTGGCCAAGACGGAACTCCGCCAGGGCGGTGGCAGCGGTCGTTCGACTGAGTCGGACTATCTCATTCATCCGATAACTATCGATGCCCTCTTCCAGGCTGGTATCATTGCTAGCACCTCTGGTGTTGTCCGTGAGCTGCGCGCCAAGGTTCCCGTGCACATTGAGGAGATGCACCTCCGCGCTCCTGTTGGCGGGCAGAAGGAGCTCAAGGTGAACGCTACTTCCGAGGCCGTTGGTTTTGGTACCATCCGCGTTGATGGTGAGCTGTTTGATGATGAGGGACGTGTCTTCCTCCAGATCAACCGGTGCAGACAGGTTGCTTATCAGAGCGGCATCCAGCAGGAGGCTGGTGATGAACGTCACCCCATGCTTCGCATTGTCTGGAAGCCGGATGTTACCAGGCTCGGAGCTGATGATGCGGAAGAGTTCTCGCAGTACATTGAGCAGTATGCTGCCAAGTCTGAGAGCAAGGCTGATGATGCTACAGTTCGCTTGGGAGCTGCTCTGGACTTGCTTATTCACAAGCACCCCAGACTTCGCATCTTGAACCTCGATGTCAACTTGAACGAGTTTTTGGTTGACACCCTCCGCCTCGAGACCGACTTCAAGAAGTGCAAGACCCTGGTCAGCGGCTCCTACTCCGAGGAGGGCACCCTCACCTTCGAGGACCTCACCAACGAGGGCAAGACCTCCACTGCCGCTCAAGTCTTTGACGTCGTCATCCTCGGCTCTAAGGCTCAGGACCTCGAAGCCGCCAAGGAGCTCGTCGACGAGGACGGCTCCATCCTCCTCAACGGCTCCTCCGCCGACGCCGAGAAGCTCCAATCCCTCGGCTTCATCGCCCTCCAAGCCCCCTCCGGCACCATCCTCGCCCAAACTCCCCAGGAGATCACCACCAAGCAGCAAAAGACGCTCTCCAAGCAGGTCCTCATCGTCGAGCGCAACGCCGACCACGTCCTAAACAGTGCCATCGCCGCCCAGGCCAAGAAGATCACCGGCCTCGAAGCCAAGCGGATCCCGCTCGAGAGCGTCACGGCCGACATCATCGCCGTGCACACCCGCGTCATCTCCACCATCGAGCTCGAGGACCCGGTTCTCTCACGTGTCACTGAGGACGAGATGAAGCACATCAAGACCTTGACTGATAACTGCACCAACCTCGTCTGGGTCACCGGCGGCCGTCTCTTCCAGGCTGTTTCGCCTGAGCATGCTGTTGTCTACGGTCTCTCGCGTGCCCTGATGCTCGAGCAGCCTTCGCTCCGCTTCTTTGTGGTTGATGTTGACCATGAGAGCACCCCTGTTGAGAGGTCGGCCAAGCACGTTGTTGAGGTCCTCCAGCAGGCACTTATCGAGGCGGATCCCGACTATGAGTTCATCCAGAACGCTGGTCTGCTCCATGTCAGCCGCTTTGTTCCTGAGGAGTCTCTCAACAGGGTGTTCCGCGAGAAGCAGGGTGCTGAGAAGCTTGCTCTGCCGCTTAAGGAGGCTAGACCCTTCCGTCTTGGCACCGACATGGTCGGCCAAATTGACTCCATCTTCTTCCGCCGTGAGGAGGCTAAGGATGTCCAGCTTGCCGAAGGTCACGTCGAGGTCTCCGTTAAGGCAGTGGGCTTGAACACCAAGGATCTGCAGGCCATCAACGGCGACGGGGACAACACCAGCGGCTCCTTCTGCACTTCGCAGTACACCGCCGTTGTCACCAAGGTCAGCGCCGGCGTTGAGAGCCTCGCTGTCGGTGACCGTGTCGTCGTCATGGCCCCCGGTTACTTTGCCACTACCGAGAGTGTCCCAGCCTGGGCTTGCCAGAAGCTGGCCGACAATGAGGACTTCACCACCCTGTCCAGCGTCCCTCTCCAGCTCAGCACCGCCATCTACGCCGTCAACAACCGCGCCCACGTCCAGGCCGACGAGTCGGTCCTCGTCATCACCGGAAGCGACATCGCCGCTGACCAGGCCGCCATCCGCGTCGCTCAGCTCGCTAGGGCTAAGGTGTTTGCCGTCGGTGACAACACCAACCTGTCTGCGGACCGCGTCTTCGCCAAGAATGACAAGGCCCTCGTCGCCAAGCTGCTCAAGGCCACTGAAGGCCGTGGCGTCGACGTCGTCCTCAACTTTGCCAACGAGGCTGCTCCTATCTCCAGCATCGGCAGTATCTTCGCTGACTGCGGACGTCTTGTGCATGTCGGCAAGTCTGGCCTCGCTGAGACCATTGCTACTGACTCGACCCTCTTCCGTAAGAGCGTCACCGTCACGACCTTTGACATTGCCAACATCCTGGCTCTTAAGACTGCTGCTGGCCAGAAGATCCTCTCCCAGCTGTTGGCTGATAGCATTGCCCTCTACCGCCAGGGAGAGCTGAACCTTGCTTCTTCTCCCAAGGTCTTTGACGTCTCCAAGGTCCGCGACGCCTTCCGCGCGCTGGCGGCCAAGGGCCACTCTGGCTCTGTTGTGGTCTCCCTCGAGAACGAAGCCTCGCTTGTCCCCACTCTGCCGCTCAAGTATGACACCGTCCTTAGCCCGGAGAAGAGCTACCTCCTCGTTGGCTGCCTCGGCGGTCTTGGTCGGTCGATGTCCAAGTGGATGCTTGCTCGTGGTGCTCGCAAGTTTGTGTTCATGGGCCGTAGCGGTACAGACAGGGCTCCTGCTCGTCGCTTGGTCGAGGATCTCGAGCTCGCTGGTGCGCAGGTGACGGTGGTTCGTGGTGATGTTATCAACATGGAGGATGTCGAGTTGGCTGTCAATGGTATCGATGGACCGATTGGCGGTGTTATTCAGGCTGCTATGGGTCTTGATGTGAGTTTCGGCCCCCCTTTTCCCGATGACGAAGCGAATACTAACCGATAACTCCCCCCAACAGGAAGCTCTCTTCACCACCATGCCCCGCGACTACTGGCTCACCGGCCTCAAGCCCAAGATCGTCGGCTCCTGGAACCTCCACAACGCCATCCGCGGCCGCGACTCCGAGCTCGACTTCTTCCTCATGACCTCCTCCATCTCCGGCAGCGTCGGCACCGCCACCGAGTCCAACTACTGCTCGGCCAACTACTTCCTCGACGTCTTCGCCCGCCACCGCCACTCCCTCGGCCTGCCTGCCACCTCCATCGGTCTCGGCATGATTTCCGAAGTCGGCTATTTGCATGAGAACCCCGAGATCGAAGCTATGCTCCTCCGCAAGGGCATCCAAGCCATCAACGAGGACGAGATGCTGCAAATCATCGACGCCTCTCTAGCCACTCCCACTTCCGTCCCCGGTAGCTACGACGAGCTCGCCCGCGCCCATGTCCTCACTGGTCTCGAGCCTCTCGGCCTCAAGGAGCTGCGCGCCAAGGGCTTCGAGGGCACCTCCCCTGTCCTCGGCGACCCGCGCGCCTCTCTCCTGTCGGCCGCGCTCGACGAGTCCACGGATGCGGCCGGCAGCGGCGCAGCCAGCGGTATGCCCGCCGAAGTTGCAGAGGCTATTGCCACGGGCGCCTCGGTCGAAGACGCGATCCTCAAGATGATCTCCAAGAAGTTCTCCAACTTGGTGCTGATTCCCGAGGACAAGCTGAACCTGACCAAGCCGATCAGCGAGGTGGGCGTGGATAGCATGCTGGCTGCGGAGTTTAGGGCGTGGATCTTCCAGGCTTTCAAGGTGGATGTGCCGTACTTGACGCTGTTGTCGGCGGCGGCTACACTGACGTTGTTGTCGGAGCTGATTACGAAGAAGATGATGGAGGCTCAGGATGCTTGAGGGGTTGCGGTTGGTTGAGAGATACGCGTTTGACTTCTTTCTTTCCCTTTGTATGGCGTTCAAAGGTCATGGTTCGCACTTGGGAGGAGTGATGAATGCTGGTCATGATGATTCTTTCTCTTTTCCTTTCTAGACCGCGATGCTTTGGTCACTGTTTGGTTGTCTCTCGTACTCAGTCTTCAGCGTTGCATTTGTATAGATCTAGATCGATTTTGACAAGTTCGCTGCTTTCAATAGCAAAAGTATTTGAGATATCCAGTGCCAACATTGTTGTTGATGTGACTTCAAGTTGTGGTGTCAAGGAGCAAACGAAGGGCAACTGAGAGCGAGTGCCAAGACCGGGATTGGATTGGCAGTCCTGATGATTTGTGGACCCACTCTGCAGCTGGTTCTGAGCTGCCCTTCCATTGACAGCTGCCATCAGCTGCTGCCTTGAGCTTTGTTTTGTCTTGGCACACTGCTGCCGGCAAAAAGACGCTCAAGACAGGAGTTCATCCCATCTCTTTAACCGGTTTTTGCGCCATTCTTTTCCCGACAGGGGTCTATAGCCAATGACATTTCGCAAACACCAAAATGCAACCATTTGGCTACTTCAGGGCTCAGGCTACTTTCTGAGTATCTTAGCAGGACGCTATAAGTACCCTGACAGAGCCACTAGCTGCTTGTGAGCTGGGTACTCTGAAGTTTTTATGGGCCGGGAAAAAAATGGCGCAAAAACCGGTTAAAGAGATGATTGTTTCATGTTTCAAGTCCAGGCGGACAGGAAGTTTCCCATCACCACTTCGGAGGCTGGCTTCAGATCATCCCATTATTGTTTCATGATTCAATAACACCCCCAATGCCCGACTTTGACAAGCAGAGCTATTGGCACACACGTTTCGAGTCGGAGACGGCCTTTGAATGGCTGATCCCATCGTCTACGTTCATGCCCCTTCTTGAGTCTTTTCTCAACAAGTTGCCCGGTTCTGATGCCAGTATCCTTCATCTGGGTTTCGGCACGAGTGACTTGCAAGTCCAACTCCGGACGCGTAGCTTTGCCAACATTACTAATGTTGACTATGAGCCTCTGGCGACAGAGAGAGGCCGGCGCCTCGAGAGGGCCACGTTTGGCCATGTGAGAATGCAATATATCACTGCCGATGCAACACATCTCGATTCCGTTCCCGATATATCTTCCCAGAAATACCACCTTGTCATCGACAAGAGCACAGCTGATGCTATTTCTTGTGCAGGCGACGATGCGGTTTTGGCCATGGCCCAAGGCATTCACCGGAGTCTGGCCGATGGTGGTGTCTGGATCTCCGTGAGCTACTCGGCTTTCCGCTATGACATTCCGCAGTTGCCGTTTGACGTCGAGGTCATCACCAAGATTCCAACCGCCAAGGCGAGGGAGACTGATCCAGATATTTATCACTATTGCTACCTCCTGCGTCCGAAACCCAAGGCGTAGATGGCATTGGCAGTAGAAGATGCAACACCGACCTGTCACAGGGTCGCACTCTCGGCCGATCCGCTCTCTCTTCCCGGAACCGCTCATGAGGTTTGGGTCTATGCATGCCCCTTTTCACCTCGATTATAGACCCGGAAAAGGAAATCTCGGAGGGACGTTGTGAAAACCCGATCTGCCAAGAGTCCCGATCCGGGATGGCAGGGGTGCCGGAACCGAGGATTCGGCATGTCGGAGAGCGGACCGATCGCATCCTAGGATCTAGCGAGATTTAGCAGTACCACGCTGGGGTCGAGAAACAATGGCTTTGCATCAAGTCAAGCAAGAAAATCCGGGGAAGAGCGCCACCATGAAGGAGACATCGTATCCAGGTTTATGCGCACCAACGACACGATGGCATCCCACGCCCATGGACTAGACCTCCGCATCCCGTTCGAGAAGTTTCAAAAACCGGGATAAGCCAATGATACAGGGAGACGATACTACCATCCGAGACGTCAAGGAAAAGGGGCGAAACTATGCCGAAGGCCTTTAATCCCAAAGACGTCGAGGATGGCGGATGGTAGACGAGTATAAGTGCTCCCAACTCCCGTTATCTTCTCGAGTTTTAATCCCATTGTGACACCACCAGCATAACGCCCCACGCATCACTCCTTAACAACAGTCATTCCTTAACAACAGTCACTCCTCAACAACAGTCCAACATGAAGACCGGAAGCATCCTCGCGGCCCTCGTGGCCTCGGCCAGCGCCCACACCATCTTCCAGAAGGTGTCCGTCAACGGTGCCGATCAGGGCCAGCTCAAGGGCATCCGTGCTCCTGCCAACAACAACCCCGTCACCAACGTCCAGTCCTCCGACATGGCCTGCAACGCTGTTTCGATCAAAGACAGCAACGTCCTTACCGTTCCGGCTGGTGCCAAGGTTGGACACTGGTGGGGACACGAGATCGGCGGTGCTTCTGGCCCCAACGACGCTGACAACCCGATTGCTGCTTCTCACAAGGGTAAGCTTCCACTCATATTCTTCAGTATATTGCTCTTGACGGTCCGCTAACGTGTCTTTCTTCCAGGTCCCGTCATTGTCTACCTCGCCAAGGTCGACAACGCCGCCACCACCGGCACCTCCGGGCTCAAGTGGTTCAAGGTCGCCGAAGCCGGCCTCAGCGGCGGCAAGTGGGCCGTCGATGACCTGATCGCCAACAACGGCTGGTCCTACTTCAACATGCCGACCTGCATCGCTCCGGGCCAGTACCTCATGCGTGCCGAGATCATCGCGCTGCACAACGCCGGCTCGCCCGCCGGCGCGCAGCTCTACATCGGCTGCGCCCAGATCAACGTCACCGGCGGCGGCAGCTCCTCGCCTTCCAGCACCGTCAGCTTCCCCGGTGCCTACTCGGCCTCCGACCCGGGTATCCTCCTCAACATCTACGGCAGCAGCGGCAAGACCGACAACGGCGGCAAGCCGTACCAGATCCCCGGCCCCTCGCTGTTCACTTGCTCCGGCTCCGGCAACGATGGTGGCTCTGGTGGTTCCAACCCTGCTCCTACTACCAAGGCTAGCACCCCCCAGCCTACTACCAAGGCTAGCACCCCCCAGCCTACCAACGGCGGTGGCTCGGGTACCGGCGCTGCTCTTTATGGACAGTGCGGTGGTAAGGGCTTTACTGGCCCTACCACTTGCGCTTCAGGCACTTGCAAGTTCCAGAACGATTGGTATAGCCAGTGCCTCAATTAAATGGGTGAAGTTGGTCTGAGGCTCTGCGGTTGAAGAAAGAATGGTGATGGTGGTGGTGAAGTGCCGAGTGTGGTCACTTCAGCCTGAGTTGTCGGGATGAAAAAGGTCCTGATACTTTGGATAAAACAGTTGGGATTCTTCTACATTTTGGGGGGATCATCCAGCGCTTGCACATACTTTTACAACATACTTCTACTGTACATATCTTAGCAAGTATATAGACTTACCATTGAACATATGGCATACGGACCCTGTTTCCATGAGCTATTTTGACATTTTGTAACTGTTTGCTCGGGTGAAATGTCATATCCGTGACTACCTTAGGTATGGCTCTCAGTATTTCTAAGGCCTTAACTGACCTTAACAGGAATGCTCTTTGTGTGCAGCACATGGTGTTAGTGAAACATAGTAAATTCCTCCCGCCTAGTGCATCCAAGAACAACAGCAAGACGATCCTCGGAAGAAGCCAACTTGCACCACACTTGAAACACCAAAAGGATCATTGCCTGTTCAGTTTCTCTCGTATATCTGCATTGTCCTCTCTGGCAATGACACTTCACTTTTTCTTCAGCCTTCAAGCCTCTAAAGTCCAAAGCACTGACCTCCCCAAAACCCCATCAACAAACACCCCAACCTGCACGCAACCGTGAAATGTGAAATTGTGACAACTTGAACCTGAAACCGACGAAAACAATCCTTCCATCCCTGAAAATCTGAGAATCTCAAAAATCGTCAAGAATCAATTCGTCGAACAATCTTCACTCATCACACCTATCCAACAAAGAACTTCAAGAAGGTGGTCAGACCTCCAGGGCCTCCCTCCTCCTCGTTTCACGCTATCGAATTGCTTGCAGGGTGCAGCTCCTGGGGGGCCGCTCGGGCCACGTTTTCTGTTTCTTCTTCACTTCTCTTTTTCTCAGCACCACCCACGTTTTTTCACTGCAGCACGGCCTGTTGGAGAGGCATGGGATGGGGCACAGGCGACCGAGAATGTAACGCTGAAAAGAAAAAGAGATGTCTGTGAGTCTGTCAAAGTCTGGATCATCACATTTGACGAATTTTTGATCACGCTTCAGCTCGCCTCCAATACGTCTAGCCCGCTGTGACTACTCACTCAGCTGGATTGAAGTTGTAAAGCGGTTGATCGGTTGTGTGTGGTTGAGCGGCTCATCCGGTTCGGTTGGTAGGTAACCAGTCGTATATCTACCGAGGATGCAGTGCTTATGGATGGCTCAATAGATGGTCGATAATTGCTGGATATTGGGCGAGGATATTGCCTGGACCGAAGTGAATACATCCGGGCAGACACTCGTGAATCGTGGGTGCTATTCTGGGTGCACATGTTTGTGAATGTCGTCAAACAACCTCGACAACTTCGAGACACTTTTGACTTGCACATGGTCGACAACGAAGAGTGAAACCTGGAAGATCGCCGGTCCTCGGCAGTCTTGCAATCCTTCTTCTGATTCTTCTTTGCAGTTCGTTGAACCGAGCCGCGTCCATCCCCCGCAATCGCATGTGGTTTTGGGAATTGGTGGCCCGGTGGACGAGGTGGGCTCGTGGCTTCGTGGACGGAACCTCGTGGACCCCTTCCCCCGCACGACCCTACAGTTCACCCCTAGTTTGTTCGTTAGCGCGAACTCAACCACCACTCCACCAAATTCCAGGCAAGAAACTGGTATTAACCAGATGCGTTTTGGGTACTTCATACACTCTATACAATTTTTCTTTTTGAATGTGGTTGTTCTGTTGTTTTTCTGTGTATTTTTGCCAACCCCTGTCGCAAGAGCCGCGCTAACAAACAAACCAGGGCTGAACTGTATGTGGATCCTTTTTGTTTAGCGTAGTGAAACTGACGAACCCCCCCTGGACCCCCTACCACACCACACCGGCGATTTTCATTCCCACTGCACTTTCCATTCCACGGCAGCGGACAAGTTGACCCGACAGGCAGGACGGACAAAGTGGTGAAAGCGACGAGAGTCCAGTCTCACAAAAGTCACGATGCACCACTGCACACACCCTCACCCACACCCACCGAGCGACAGGAAGCGAACTCGATTTGATCGGTGGGCCGAATTGACCGCCCGGCCAATGGCAGGTTGAGGGGAAGGTGTTGCCTTTAACCACAAGCGGAAAGTGGACGGAGGGACCTGTCGCGATCTTCTATCTTGTTGTGGGCTCTATGGGACCTGTGGCGGGCGCAAATCAGTCTCTCTTCAGGGAAAAACACCGCAAGAAATGGGTGCTTCGAAACCGAAGAAAGTCAGGAAAACTTGGACATGGTTTTTACCTCCTGGATGACAGAGAAAAAAAAAAGATGATTCTGACGATGGAGGAAATCGGCATGTGCGACAGGTATACGTATTCGCCGTCGGTGGTGTAGCCATGACAGTCATCCACATTCCTCATCTTCCAGCAACGCCAGGACGCCCCAAGACGCCATCGACGCCGGTGGTTAGTCTGTCCACGGGCGTAGAAGGCCGGGAAGAGTTAGGCCGCCGCCAATCATCACGCCAATCCATTCATCCACGGTACGCCATGCCACCTTCCCGATGGACTTTGGGGACATGCGGAACAAGGGTCCGGTTCGGCTGTCACACACCACCCAAATATACCATGTGTACAATGGTACACTACATGTAAGCAATAAGCATGGGCATCAGTCAGATAGACTCCTCTACGCTAGAGATCAGACTAATACTCCAGTCCTCCCCCAGCGGGTCCCGACCATGTGTCCGTCTTTTCTTTCTGTTTTGTCCGGTTTCCTCATCTGCTTGTCGAACTGTCGGTGATACTCCATAATACCGCGGTGCAACCGTATATCGGTGTAGACAAGACCAGCAGAGAGCAAAATCCCCCATGGCGACGACGCTTCACCAAAACGCCGCCGACCATATGGCCGGTAGGCTCGGGTCGGGCAACATGGAGCAGTGCATGTAAGTAACCGTGTCTCCAAAGAGTCTCAAGAAACACCAGACGAACAGTTGGAGAGAACTTGGGGTATCGTCCAAAGTAACACCATGGCTAACCCTGTCTTGTTCTGTCTTTCAGAGCCATCGACGCCGGGTGCTCCGCACTTATCGCCGCTATCGCAAAGACCGTCACCGCCATCCACGGTCTCATGCGCGAAGTTCGGGAATCGCGCGCCGACCTCGATCCCATATCCAGCGAACTCCATTCCCTCAACGGCATTCTCGATATTCTCAAGGACGACGTCCCGTCTCTTCCTGAACAGCTGGCGCAAAGAACTCCCAAAGTACTCAGCTACTGCCTCACCATCATTAACGAACTCCAAGGATGCATCTCGATTTTGGACCGTGTTGGTCTCTCCAGGCAGGACAAGAAGTCGCGATGGATGGCTAGTAGGGGACATATTGCCAAGTTGCGGTGGACGTTGGAGGTGTACAAGGCCAGCTTGGGACTGGCGGTGGACTTGGTTGCGTTGTAAGTGCGCTTCCTATTAAACTTGGAATGCGATGTTGAGCCGAGTTACTAACAAGCGCAAAAAAGAACTGGTAGCAAACCACCAAGCGAACAAAGTCCGGTTAGGGGAACTTTTATGGAGGACGCCTTTGGGGTATCTTACGGCAAGGACGAGTTAGCCGACGTTTTAGCCCAAATCAGCCGTGTTGCTGCTCGACTCGAAGACGAATCCCGCCACAACGGCGCTGTTGCAAAGCTTCAACATTATCTCGATGCGCTATACGGAAATGCTCTCGCCGCTGTCGACCGCGAGATGGACCATTTCGAAGGTCAACGAAATAGTGCCCACTCCTCGACCGATAATGCCCCAGATAGCGCTATCGACATGGGCGATGACGACCACGCCTTTGTCCATGCCAAAACATCGAATATCCCGATACCACAAACCCATATCAACATGACACTGGACGAGTTCGACGAGATGCTGGATGAACTAATGGAGATGCCGGTTCGACCTCCAACACCACCGCAAAGGTCAGCGAGACGGTCCTCGTCTGCCGCTTCGGTCACTCGCAGTGAATACCGTCCTAGCATATCCGACTCTTATACTAGCACCCCGTATGTTGCTGGCACGTTCCTGGATCTCGAAACCCGAAGCCAAAGCCCGCATCTTCGAACCCAGAGTGACTCGGCGGCCATATCACCTCGACCAGTCTTTATCAATCCCTTCCCACACACGAGCGGGGGTCTTATACCAGGCCGTACCGACGGCCAAAACCGCGATTCCCTCTGGGAAAACCCTCGCCCAGCGGTACCCGTTCCTCGACCGACCACATCCAGTTCCAACATCACGAACTCCCCCAAGCCGAACGTACTACGAAGAAGCAGCTCCCGCCTCTCCTCAGCCCTGAAAGGCCTCAGCTTCAGCCGCCAACGCTCCCACTCAACAGCCAGCACCAGCTCCGCCAAATCATCCACCCCATCCCTAGCGCTAGCCTTCGGCTTAACTAGCACCCCCTTCGCTAACCCCTCCTTCATGGCCATGCCTCCCACCCCTACCACCCCCGCTCCCGCTGAAGCCTCCAAACCAGTCTCCATCATCCCCTCCGGCGCCATCTTCGGCGTCTCCCTCGCCGACTCCATGTCCGTAGCCAAGGGCCTCGCCGGCACCCGCCACGACAGTGGTGGCTCCTCCACGCGCGACTACCCGCTCTGCATCCTGCGGTGCGTCTACTTCATCCAAGACCACGGGCTGCGCGCGCCACACATCTTCGCGCAAGAAGGCGACCTCTACCGCCTGCAACGACTTAAAACCATCTTCAGCTCGCCCAAGACTGGATACGGCAAGGTTATGGACTGGAACCAATTCACTGTTTACGAAGCCGCCGACCTTATTCTACTCTTCCTCTCCGAACTTCCACAGCCCTTGGTCCCGGAATCTGTAGCTAAGCGATGGATCTCCATGTCGCGGCAGGCGACCATGTCTGGGTCTTCGCGGTTGGATAAGGGCATCGACTTTTGGGAGGAGGCGCTGCAGGGGATCAAGGGACCAAACAGAAGCTTGTTCAAGCTGCTGCTGAACTTGTGGGGTGACGTGGCGGATAACGTGGACTGGAACGAGATGCCGGCTGAGAGGCTGGCAGAGAGAATGATGCGTCCGCTGATGCACTTGCCGCAGACGAGGTATGGGACGGATTACATGCTGGGATTGGCGTTTGTGGTTAGGAAGAGGAGCGAGTATAATGCGGGGTTGAAGGGGGAGAGGAGTCGGGCTGCTTTTTGAGGCTGGATGAAAGTCATGAAACCGGGTATCAACTGGGTACAGTAGGACCTGATGGAAGTTGGAAGGTGATGATGCCTTTCCTTGGTTTGGCTTGACCGGGCTTTTTTTTTCGCCCTGTTTTTCTCTTGATTTTTTTTTGGAGTTCCTGTTTGCGTCCTGTCGTTCGTTTGGAAGCTGAAATGATACCCCGGAGAGATATGTACCGCGTATGAAATATTACTGTGCCTCGCTGAAAATACCAAACATGAATTTACAATTACAATCTGCTAGGAAAATGGTGCGATAAAAATTATGTGGTGTTTGCCCGCAGCACATAGCGACAGTCCATCCTTGGACCAGCAACCTCCTTGTTGACACCGGTCTGGTCACCACTAGAACCTAAGTCCTCCCACTTTGCGTGATCACTCTCACGTATGGGGATTACAGAAGCTGTTCGGACCTTTTGGACCGCAATGGCATTCGCTTGCGTACCTATCATGTACAGAAAACGGGGTTGTGTGCTTGATTGTAGTTGTGTACTCGGGTTTATTACGTACAGACGTAGAGAACCTTAAAGGTCACTCTTGGCCCGGGCCCGGACGGCGGACGCACCTGCCTTCTTCTCCGGACCTCCGGATACTACGACATCTGGTTGCGGCTGCCTTATTTTTCCGCATGAAGCTGGGAATCCGGATTTACATGAGCGGACCGCCGCAATCTGTTTATGCAAAGTTTTTTCCCATTACATTGTCCGAGCTTCCTGCACCGTCTTATCTTTTTCCCAGATGCCATCACCAAGCCACCAAGATTACTGCTTGACTGTCGACGCAATGCCCGTGGAACTGACCGTCTCTACCCACTGTCAACCCTCAACTTTGGCGAAAATTGCATATCTCGAGCAAGCTACAGCGATGTTGCTGCCTGTGATGGCTTGCGTTGCTGGCGGTATCTCGCCTGTGGCGAGAATGATGTCCAAGTTGTCACCTGGATGAGCGTCAGCGCAGCGGAGCGGGCATCTTGCGAACTGCTGCTGCTCGCATGCCCGGCGTCATTGATTCTTGAATCATGTAGGTATCACGGGCATGAGCCTCTCTGTTGGGCAGAGGCAAGAAAGCACCGGCTCTTCCACTGCAGACACGAAAACTTTAAGATCCAGCTCTTCGAGCCACATTGCACCTTTTGGTTTTTCCAAAAATACCCAACAGACTTGACCATCCTTGTGAAAGGTCTTTGCTTCTTTCAGTCCGCTACCATCAACAGTTAGTGCGAGAAAACTACCAGTTCAAACAAGCTCTTTTACACATCAACATCATGGACGGAGAAACCCAATCAAACAGACCCGAACAAGCTCCTCTGGAGCGCTTCCCACCAGAAGTTGCCGAGATGAACTCCAAGTACCACATGGACGTAAGTGTTGCGAGAACTCCTACTCTTGTCTGTCTTGATGTTATGGTTCTCGGCTCTGGCGAACATGGCTAACGAATTCTGTTCCTGATATAGGGCTCAACCACCATTGAAACCCGCCAAATCTCGGGGGTTGGCGTTTCCTTTGGCCCTGGCATGGAGGTTCTCAAGGTTGCCCCAAAGATGACCGGTTTTCCTTCTTGTAAAGCGGAATGCAAGAAGGTTAATCTGTACTGGGACTGGCAGTGGTCCAAGCACACCATCAGATTGGACCAGGATCCGTCACGTCTCCTGACGATCCATACCCTGTTCCTGTCTGGTAAGATCCAAGTCCGCGGCAAGCCGGTCGCTACCAATTACATCTCTTCCGGGCCTGGTGACGGGACACTTGAGCTCTTGAACCTTTTACCAAGCGTCACCAAGGAAGAGATCAAGGAGCAAATACCTCAAGCTCTTTTGAAGGGTGCGAAGTGGTCTACAAAGCACCCGAAGTGCACAGACGGCAGTGCTCTGAGAACCGTACTCTCGCTAACAACGCAGTTTGGTCCCCTCAAAGATCAATTTTTTGAGCCTTTGCCAACGATGATACGGGTAACAGCCTTGTTTCAAAATGAGGATGACGCCAGGAGAGCTGTCGAGGTTCTCAATCAGTCACCACTGCCGTTCGACCCGCAGCAAATGCTGATAGCTAGACTGGAGTATCAAATGGAGTTCAAGGGTCCAAAAGAATGGGTTGAGAACATTCCTGGACAGCTTCTCAGCAAAGCTTCCATTTCCAGGAACATCCATCAGATAAAGCTTGCCCTATCACCCGACGTTGAACAACGCTTCAGCCTGAGCGGAGAAACCCGTGAAGTGCTCGTCGAGGCAATGGAGTGGGTACGCAAGCTCCCCGTCTCCGGCCAAATCCACGAGGACAAGTCAAGCTCCCGGGACTTTACCACAACAGACGAGTGCTGTGTCATATGTGGTGATACGGCAGAGTCACCCGTGATCACTCAGTGTAAACACGTTTACTGTGGTGACTGCTTCGACAACCTTTGCTTCAGCACCTTTTCAATCGGAAGCTGGCGAAATAAGGCCATCTGTCAGGCGCCCAAACCATCGGGCACCTCGACAGCACTTGACAACTCCATCTGTGGCTGCACTTTCACTCTCCCAGAGCTCCAGGAATTGCTCAACCCCAGTACCTTCGAACGCCTCCTCATTGCGTCCTTCAAATCCTACGTCCACCGCCATCCAGACAAGCTGCAAAATTGTCCCACTACCAACTGCGATTACATCTACTTTGTCACGGAGCCCTACGACCAACCCGATCGGCACAGCGACGATCCCGCCACAGCACCGCACATCACCTGCCTCCATTGCCTCGCCAACATCTGCACACGCTGCCAGGAAGGCCACGCAGCCAGAGGCATGACCTGCCTCGAGTTCCAAGATCACCTAGCGCATGGGGCACACTCGATAGCCCTCGCCAAAGCAGAGCAGGGCATCAAGGACTGCCCAAAATGCACGACGTTCCTTGTCAAAGTTGACGGGTGTAACCACGTCACTTGTCCTGTATGCAATACCCACCTGTGCTGGAAGTGCTTGGAGATGTTTAGAGGTGAAGCTGCCGAGGATCGCGCGTATAGGCATTTGGAAGAGGTGCATGACGGGATCTATGATGATCTTCCCGATGAGGAAGATGAGGAAGACTATGATGATCTTCCCGATGAGGAAGATGAGGAAGACTATGATGATCTTCCCGATGAGGAAGATGAGGAAGATCTCGGTGATGATGATGATGATGATGATGATGATGATGATGATGATGATGATGATGACGACGACTGGGAGCAAAATAATGGGTTTGGAGATCCGGAGGTTATTTGCATACTGGCACATCTAGTCGGACGTGTGCATCGACAAGATGAAGAGCTACGCAGAATCATGGAAAATTTTGCTGATCCGGATTTCGAGGAGGGACAGGGCGAACGAGCGGATACTGGACAAGAGGATAACGGGGATGATGGTGAGGGTGCGGGTGTGAACAGAGAGGATGCCGCTAACCATGGCATTGAGATTGAAGACGACCAAGTAGGTCTTCGGATTCAGGGGGCTCCAGAAGCACAAGATCAAGAGGTGAGTTTAGAGAGGGTGGTTTGGCGAGAAGATGGGCGAATGAACGAGCGAGCGCAACCTCATCAGCGGAGGGATTGGGAAGAGGCTGATGTCATTGTCCATGATATTTCGTACAACTTTGGCTTTTACGTTTGGCTTTTTTTCTTTCTTCCCTTGTGTCGCATGATTTTCGCGGTTTTTGTGGTCTTTCCCCTGCTGTTTTTGGGCGCGATTAACGGGGTTGGAGAACAATGATTACATTCAGAGAGCAGGATGGATAAGGCGATACGATGATGCACGGACAGAATGAGATTCATCTACTCGCGGGAGTTTGAAACTAGTAGTTTCCCGAGCAGTGACCAGATTTCAAATATATTTTCACTATTGAACGCAGCTGTAGGCCACGGTGGCCTGTCAGGGACAACTGAGTGCGTGCGAAGCAGACGAAGTCGGTAACGGATGATCGGATACCGTATTCACAACACATATAGGCCCCTTTTGGCAGGTAATTAATGGCACTCAAATATTCGCAACGCCCTTCCGAATAATGACATTGGAAATGGCGATACACGGCCGGATCACAGCTGCGAAAACGATTTTTGGCTCATCGAGCTGCCGCTGCCGCTGCCGCTGCGGCCGCGGATCCAGAAGCCCACGATGTCACCGACTACACCCCAACTCCGATTCGCTTTCAAAACCCGTCTCCGCAATGCTTTGCACATCCGTAGCCATTTTTCCAACTGCAGTAACAAGCCCTCACGATTATTGTAATTGCATTTTAGTTCCTATGCGGTTATTAATAGCTGAGTGTCCACCACACCACTTCTTTCTCTCAACCCAACGTCCGTCTGTCCGTTACAAGCGTGCCCAAGACCAGCGCCACACGATGCCGGCCGGGGTTTATTAGCATAATACAAACGCTAATCATCCAACAATAAGCAACTGTGATATTATGGGTAATAATCGATATGGGGTTCAACGTAGCTTGATTGTATATGTCTATATCAGACTGGCTCTACAGACTCGAAGCTCTAGCATCTAAATAAATTCCGCATATCCCAGCCCAATTAGGTACGTACACGCCTAATAAATCACCTAGCCTCTAATATACCCCCTTAAATCTAATATACAAACTACGCCAAATCTACCCAAATATACCCTAAAATGCCCTAGAATCCTTCCAAAACTAGTTGGAAATAATATTATTTCCAAATTACTTCCTCGTCATAATAGCTTTCAAACTTTTACTTATAAGAGTTTTACTTTATTATTTATAATTACACTTACTAATTCGTTACCCGAATCTTCCTCTATGAAGTCCTTTATACCCTTTAGGCGGCCTATAATAATATTTCTACTACTAAATTCTCGTAAATAAATTTATAGCCGCTATAACTCTACGAATCCTAGTTATTCTATAGATTTTAAATATATTATAGGAAGGAGGCTCTTTATAAGGCTATTCGTAATCTATTCTTTAGTAGGTATATAGACTATATTTACTAATTTCTTCTCCTATGCTTACTTTAATTAGTATTTATATATATTAACGTACTTAAGCTTAATTACGAACCGAACTCCCTTCTTTACGACAAATTGTATTGTTTATTTATTATTATTACTTATAAGCGTAGCCTCTTAATTTTCGAATTTTAGACTAAGTTTGTTAAAAAAATAGTAAATGTAAAGAGCCTCTTTAATTCCTTAATTAAAGGATAATAGCTCGGCCTTTATAGATAAGGTTGTAATTATATTTTATTTATTAGTTTGCTAATTAATTATAGCGCTTAAGGATTTAAATATAAACGTTTATAAATTTTTTCAATTAAAAAGATTATTTATAAATAAGGAATTAATTATAATATAAAAATCCCAACAGTCTTTGCTACCTAATTAAAAGACGTAGTCTTAAATTGTAAGAAGGTAGAATAGTACACGATCTGTAGCCGTATAATATATTAAAATAGGATTTAAATTAAATTAAATAAATTTAGAAATTGGGAATACTACGTTTAGTTGTAATGTAATAGCGATATAGAGAATTAAACCGATTTTGATTTAATATGTGTAAATGTTATATAAAACTACGCTATCTCAGTAAAGTAAAAGTTCTTCTTTAATTATAAATATAGAATATAACTTTTTAATACGCTTAACCTTTTCTGTAATCTTCTAAATATAATCGTATTATAATAATTAAATTGATTTCTTCTTTCGGTTTCGAATAATTTCGATGCTTAAAAACTATTTTAATAGCTCTTTACCCGTTAATTGATATTTCCTTTCTATAGCGGCTACTACCTCCTTAATTATAGTAATCTCTTTATTGCGATATTTATAAATATTAATAATATTATTAATATAAAAGAAGAAAAATATATTATCTTTAATTAAAATACTAAACTCTATAGGGAGAGGGTTTATATATATATAGTTACGAAAGTCTTAATAAATTCCTATTATTAGAGAAAGGGAGATTTATATAAATTATATAACGTATGTAGTAATTAAAATATTTAACTTTTCTTAATATATTTAGGGGGAACCTTTATAAATATTACTTGATTAAATATAACGTTAATAAAAGCGTTTTTTAAGTTGTATTAAATTAAATCAAAGTTAAAGTAGGCAATTATAATTATTAAAATATAAAACGACCCAATTATTAAAATCGTTGTATATATTTTATATATGCTATCTTTAAATTATTAATCCTTACATATAATTAAACGTATTTTATTCTTCAAAAACCGGCCGTTTTAGTCGAATTTATAAATGTATATTTATATCGAACCGAATATTTCGTTGTTTCTCACCTCCTTAATACTAACCCATTTCTAAAATTTCTTATTTTTATACTTATCCAAATATTCTTTTTCTATATCCTTAAAAAATTCCCCAAAGGAGTAAGAATTGAAATTATTATAATATTTTAGAAAGGGTAGAAAATTAATTTAATAAAGGGTCTTTAATGTACCCTTTATTCTATAGTAATTAATAATCTCCCTTATTATTTTTAATTTAAGATTATAGCCGGGATCGATATTAATACCCTTCTCTCTTATTAGTTCCAAAAAGGCGTAATTTATAACCTTATTTCCTTAGAAGCTTATAGATTAATTACCTTTTATAAATAAGAATAATGCGGCCTAATAAAGGTATTAATTTATAATTAGTTATAATTTTTTATTCGAACGAAAGAAATTAATTATTAGAAATGCGGCTAGATTATTAAAAGGAGTAGGGAAGTAGCCTTCTTCTTTATCCTTCGAATTCAAGACCGTACTTTAAAAATCCGATAGTAATTATACGAGCGGCAATAGTAAGGGCTTTAAACCCTACTGTTATATTTCTAATACCTATAAGACCTCTAAAGATCTAGATTATATCTATATTTCTAAAAACCCTAATTCCTCCTTTTCCCTTAATATATTCTCGGTCTCAGTAGGAAAATTTTAAATAATAGGGCTAAAAATTCTTTTATTTATAGCGGGTATAACTTTAACCTATAGGACGCCTATTTGCGTGATATTTATTTAATAAAAATCCTTTAATTATATAATTAATTCTTTAAAGGAAATATTAAAGGTATTATAAATTTTTTTAACGTTACTACTAGGGAAAACCTCGTCTTTATTAAATATGACGTTTCGTATAATAATAATAAAATTAATATAAGGAATCCACATCCTATATATATTTATTAATTAGTATCCAATTAAATAGCTAACCTAATTATAATTTTCAAATTTTATTAACTTATTCTATTCTTTTATAATTTCTATTATAAACGTAAAGGCTTTACAACTGTATATTTTAAAGTATATAATAATAGGAGAGGAGTTTAATAGAAGAATAATGTTAGGATCGTGGAGGAAGGTAGGTTGAGGTGCCTACGGATAGCGTAAGTACGTAGGGGACGTTAAGGTAGGGGGAGGACCAAAAATATATTAATAGTTAACCCCAATAGTTTTGGAAGCGAATTCAACTAGCTATTTATATTATTGTAAACTTTATTCTATAGTAGCTGAATCTACGACAGCTCCGAACCGTTCCAATACTATATTGCGGCGCTATACTATATAAATATTAGCATTCTTTAATATTAGTACGGGTTTAGTACCTAATAAATCCCTAACGACTTAATATAATCTCCCCTCCCCTAGGTTTTTATTTTAAAAACTTATAAATACGTTTTATCGGTAATTTCCTTACCAATATTCCTCCCTACAATTCCTCCGTAATCCACTTCTATAACCGAATATACTATTACTAAAATACCGCCCTCTCTATCTTTTTTTAACTCCCTACCGGTATTAATCCGCTACTTAATACTTATTAATTCTATTTTTCCGCTAGCTTCGACCGTTTTTTATTTACCATCTATTATTTCCTTATTTTCTACTAGCCGCCGTCCTAAATTTAAATTAACTACCTTCTATTTTATTATATTTTACCCCTCAATTACCGTTCTAACGCTTATTGGCCGTTTTTTTATTCTCAATTATCCTTTCCGCCTTTCCTCTATTCCCTTTTACTACCTTCTCTTACCGCCTTTCTTATAATGTATTATTTAAAATTAACCTATTTAAAAAAATTTCAATAATATCCGTACTTTTATACCTCGATTATTTACTACGATTCTATTCTATTTTATATTCCTAATTCTAATTATAAGAACCTTTCCTCCCTCCTTTTTCCTCTTTCTCCTCTTCTTCCTCCTTCTTTCGTTCAATTTATATATTTATTTATATTATTATTATAATTACCTTCCTAAGCCACGCCGATTAATATACCCTTTATAATTTAGCCCTCCTTATTAAGCCCAATCGTCTTTAATTTTAATAAATATTTCTCCTTTCCGCCACGTTTTTTTTATATTAACCGTTTAATAGCGCTATTTACAATCCGCTTTATACCGTCTTTACCTAGGAAGCTACGAACGCTATTACTAATTTACCCCCCAATATTACCAGCGCTACTATAATCCTAGCCGTAGGCTACTTCGTTTATACTTAATAAAATTTATTAAATTCCTATTCTTTTTTTATTAATGTTAATATTAATAATAAAAAATTTCTAAATAATAATACGTATTCAGTATATCCTGAAACTCTAAATTAGCGCCTTTATAATTTCCTTCCGGTCTTTTACAATTATATAATCGTATTCTAAAAGAATATAATTGCCGGTTATATAGGAAATATAAATAACGTTGCGCCTACCTTTACTATCACCTTCCGCAATTCCGCCAATATTTTAATAATTAGAATTTATATCCTTTACAAACGCTTTTATATTTTTCTTCTAATACCTTCCGAATTTTATAACCGCCGCCTTTATAAGTAGATAAAGCGCTATAATTTCTATTATTTTACCAACGGTCGCCCTACTAGTTAAATTACCCTTATTATTATTTATATTTTTAATAACGAGTAATTTAATACTATAATTCCCACTTTCCTAATAATTCTTACTACCCCTATAGGTATAATCGGTTTAACGGATATTTTTTAAGTTATAAATTCGGTATACATCGATATTCATTGTTTATTATCTATCGAAGCGTTCCCTTAGCCTTACGATAGGAATACGCTAGTATTAGCAGCTAATAATACAATAATAAACGAAAGTAAAATTTGAATTTAAATTATTTGTTAATAGGCGCGGCGGTCGCGCACGAGAGTTTAGTTCTTGAGAAAATAAATTCGATTCCTATATTAACGTGTAATTTAAATTCGGATTTAAAATTTAAATTAGGCGGTTATTACAATACTTAACCTTCTATTTCTATAATTTCCTAATCTTACTTTATTAGTAATATTATTATTTAGGGGGAGGAATATTGGCCTAATAAATAGTCGATAATTAGAAACTGGCGCACTATTACATTTCTTAGCTCGGCGTCCTCTATAATTCTTTAATTAACTACTCCTCCTTGTATTTATACACTATCGCCCGCATTCTTAATATAATTCCCCTAATTTTAATTTAATATATTATATATTATAATCGTCTATTATTTTATATATTATAATTGTCTAATACTTTAGGTACATTATAATTACTAATACTCTATAATTACTAATAAGTTATAGTCGCTAATTATTTTAATTTTTATTATTAACTTATTTAATTTATTTTTATTAATTTAATTACCGGGCCCCCTTAGGCTTTTCTCTTTTATAATTCCTTCGCTTTGTATTCTTTTAATAGTTTTGGACAATTTAAATCCTTTTATAATACTTATTCGTTATCGTCATCCTAATACCCCTTCTATTTTATTTAATATTACCGATTCGTTCCCGACCTTCTGTCATGCGTGGCCAGGGATAGGTACGAGTGCAAGGACTATACTACCCTAATGGCTAACTTGGACTAAAGACAAGAAGTTAAGGAAAGAAGGAAACCCCAAAAGGGAAGGCTAGATGGGAAGGACTAGGTTTTATACCCTGAACTCTGGGAGGGAGCCAGGCCAAGCCCAGAACCTGAACCATCTGAACCAAACCCGTGAATGGAAGCCACCCGTGAATGGAATCCATGACGACTGGTGGTGCCAGCCGTCACACCTTCGATATTTTATAATCGTTTCTACTTTATACTATACGAAATTATCCTCGACATCTATTCCTTTTCTTCATAACGTTACTATTAATTTTCTCTAAAATTTTAATAATAGCAGCTCGTCCCCTAATTAATTTTGTAACCCTTTCGGTAGCCGCCGTAGGGAGTACGTTTCCGCAACCCCGATTTAAATTAGTTAGATTACGTAAATAATAATTGCAGAATGATTCGGACGGCAATTTATCAATAATAGTATAAAAATAATTATTATAAATTTATTGTACTATTACTAATTTTTCGGCTTAATTTACCTATTCTAAATTATGAAAGATCTATAAATATAATTCTAAATTCTAATTTTATCGCTCCGTTTATTTGTCCGTTTACGGGTACTAAATAGTATTTAAACGGCGTTAAATATTGAATAATTTATAATAGGTTTTTTAAAAGTTGTTTATAAAAAGGTTCTTTCTATTAGATATAATAGAATTTAAGAGCCCGAATGGCTAGAATATAATTTATTAAAATGGGTATACGAATTGCTATATAGTAATTATTTTTTATATTGGAATATAGAGTACAAACTTAATAAAGCAGTCGCTAATAATTAGGACGGCGTTATAAGTATAATTAGATATAAGGTCGTAAAATTTAAATAGGCCTATAATAAAATTATAAAGAATATTTTGCTATAGTACTATTAGGATAGGTAACGATACGAAGAGCCTATATAATTTATAATTTTAAAGTTTAGTTTTTTAATATATTAGATATTAATAGACGTAGTCCTCTGTATTAGCGGCGATAGTAAATTAATAATAGTATTAAATAATCTTCTTAAGCGTTTTCCGTTATTTTAAGTATCTAATTATAATATTATTATAATAAATATAAAAGAATTCCGATTATATACTCTCCGGTATATAAATTTAATAATAATAATGTAGTATTCTATTTTTTCCTATCTTCGAATTCTTTATTTTCCGCCCTCTCTTTAATTCTTTCTATACTTCTTCCGATATAAAAGAATCTATTCTTTACGCTTCTATTAATTATTAATTTAATAGAGGAAATTACTTACCCTCCTTTTATACCCTTATAATTACTACATATGCTCCTATATAATTAACGACGACGTTATTTACCCCTCCTCTACAACTTATAATAATTTTGTCCGTAAATTGTATTCTCTTCTTCAGTATCCCTTCGTCTCTATTTAAATTTTTATACTCCCCTAATAATTCCCTATTTTTATTAATACTACATTTCTTATACTCCCCTTCTCAATTATCGTCTTCTTAATTTAATCCTTAAACCGATTTATTTTCTCCCCTATCTTCACACTATTTTTTCCTCTCTATTACTACCCTCTATATTTCTTAATTATTTAATAATGTTCTTTTTATATTATTATCCAGTATAGCCCCGTCCTATATTACTTTTCCTTTTTTTTCACCTTCCCTAATAACCTATATTAGAAGACAATTTTCTTCAATTATTTCAATAATTTTGTATAATTATAATTTCTATAATAATCCGTCCGTTAAATTAAATTTCCCTACTTAATATTCGATATTGAAAATATATATTACTAATTCTAATACTTACTAATTTTACTATACGCTAACTCTATTTTTACTTCTAAAATACTAAAAGTTTAAATAATCTGTAATAATAAGGAAAGGTTAATTAATATAGAATAAATATTATTTCTATATTTTTAGAGCGCCTATAATTATTAATAATTCGCTGTCGCTAATACTATAGTACGTTTCTTCCGGGGATTTCTTACGAGAAAAGAATATAATAGGGTATTAACGCGTTTTATACAATTGCGTTAATATTATATTGATTACAAAATCGGACGTATTTATTTCTATTTAAATTAGTAAGGAAGGATTAAAATACTATAATATTAACATTTCTTAAAATGGTTATTTTAATTCTTCGAATACTATTTTAACCGGTTCTAATAATTCGAATAGTTTCTATTTCTCTCGCTTTAATAAATCTATTAACGGAGCTATAATTTTAGAATAGGACGTTATAAACTATCAATAAAACCCTATAAACCTTAAAAATTTTTAAATATTATAAATACTTTTTAGGGCTTCCTAATCCGTAATTACTATAACCCTTTCTAAATTTATTAAAATACTTTCAAGCGAAATTATATAATTTAAAAACGAAACCCTCTTAATATAAAATTCGTATTTATTTAAACTAACGTACAAATTATATTCGTATAAACGTTAGAGAACCTTTTTAATATATTTATAATAGTCTTCTTTATTTTTCCTATAGATTATAATATTATTAAAGTAAACGATATAAATAGTATTAATTAGGCACGCTAACGTATTATTAATATACGCTTAAAAAATAGTAAGAATATCAATTAATCCTATTAATATAATTAAAAATTTATAGTGCCTATATATTATATAAAATATGATCTTC